AGTCCATATAAATAAATATTAGAATAACTGGTAGACAAGGACTGTGGCCGACCAGGTAGGAAATGGCCCCATTTAAACTAGAAGCCACTACAGAGACAATCAGTGTTGCCATTTAGGATCTGAACACAGTGTCCCTATATCTTCCAGTTTACAAATGTAAGGAAAAAAATCGGTATTTTTAATAGCCAAGTATTAGAGAAAAAGTTTCAGAATCTACTAAATTTTAGAAGAGTTTAACTAGAGGTTTTACTTCAGAACTTAACAGTAATGTTAATTAATTGATATATAACACCAAAGAAATGTTGTTTAGCATTTCTCTCCATTTACTTAACAAGAAAATTTTTATTTCCATATGCTTCAAGGGACAAGCTTTATTTGGGGAATTTATGAGGACGCCTTAGATGCCCAATCAACTCCTTTGTTACCCCTTTGGAAGTTTCAGTGGCATGTTTATGTTGCGAAGCTGTGAGGTGTGGCAGATCACACACACAGGCAATTACGTTAGGTGTCCTAACATCTGAGACCAGAGTCAAGGAGAAGTTCTAGCAGGACACGTACTGAAGCCTTGAGCGTGTTAAGGACTAAGTGGACTCTTGACCCTGTCACTGGATGAAGAAACACTTGGTGAAATCCCAGCACTCGTCACATCAGGCCCCATCTTCTGTCTTTCGTCTGCTGTGCTGTATCACTTAGAGACAGGAAAAGACAGCCAAGTGCTACTATGCACAGATGTTCCCTGTTTTATTTATCCACGAGGAAGAAAGGGGAAGCAAATAAATCTGGCACAGAAAATGTGTAATAAAAAGACAAGGCGAATATCACTGTAAGTCTTTAAAAATACCCTCTGTTTAGAAAAGTTTACAACACAATGTAGAAGATCAACTCATAGATCCACAAAGTAGACAATACAAAAATGCCGAACACCAAGAAGCAAATTAGCCTTGTCTGCCTTGGATTTAGTAAGGCCTGGGATGAAAACATTTCCCTCAACTTTGAAGAAGAGGAGGTGGAGTGGAAATCAGTGGGGATAGAAAACACCAAGGAACTAGACCTTCCAGATGCGACACAACTGACGTACATACGAACTCACAGAGACTGGTAACGTGCACAGGGCCTGTACAGGTCCAAGCAAGATGGGGTCCTAGCACTGAGGGAGAAGTGGACATGATCTCCCATCCCTAACCAAGAGCTATCTCCAATTGGAAACCATTTGCAAAGGAAAAGTTAGTTTTCTCCAATGGAGGCAACAGAGTCTCACTGCCAGGCCCCATGCCCAGCAGTAGATGGAAAACTCAAAACCAACTCTTTTTGGAGAATTTTGTCTCACAGGCTTTGTCTGGACAGTTTTTACCTTATTGGTCTTCTGCTGTTACAGCTTCCGATTTTGTGTTTTTATGGATTTTCTTTGTGTGTGTGTTTTCATGCATGCTTATTCTTTCTCCCCTACCCCATTTATTTTATTCTATTCTTTTTTTTTTTTTAAATTCCCATTTGTTTTCTAAAGGGAGAGAAGGCATGGAGTTGGAAGGGTGGGGAAGTGAGGAGGATCTGAGAGGCAACGAGGGAGGGGAAACCAAAATCACACTAAGTTGTAAGAAAAAAAAATCTATTTTCAATAAATAAATAAAGAGAAAAAATGCCAAACATTATCCAAAAGCTTTGTGCCAAGGTCAGTAAAGGAGAAAAGAAAGTGGTTTTGAATGGCCAGTGAGTCTCCCATGAGCCATCCTTGACCCCAAGGCAGCATTAGAGGGTGGAGGTTGGGAAGGGACGCCCCTCAGGGAAGATGAGGCAGAGATACAGATGGGACAGATATAAGAATCACAACACACAATGTACATGTTGTGAAATGGGGCTGGACCAGACTATGTCTTCAGTGGACACCCAACCCATAAGGAAATCTGGCTTTACTTGTATAGAGAACAGGAAGCCCTTGAACGATTTCATGACTCTACCATATTCAGGGAATTTGAAATGATGAGGACCTGAAGGTGCTAGTGAGGTAAGAGTCCTCAAAGGCCCTGGGAAGAGGTGACGAGAGTCTGGACTGGGGAGCTGGCAGTGGCAACCAAAGGAAATGATATTCTAGAGGAGGAAGCTGATCTACAGAGTTAATCCAGGGACTACAGGTGAAACCAAGGAGAGAGACACAGAACGGTCCCCATGCCACTGAGAAGGGTTCTCTGACAACAGACTGGCCCACATATTGCTTTATGTCACAGGTGGAGAGTGGGACATCTAGGCAGAAATGTTTGAGCAGCTCATCAGCACTGTGCACCTAGCACCTGTGAATAGGTAAATAAGGTGCATTAAGATACTCCTGTGTTCTCCGCTGTGTGTCATATCCTTCACCAAGTGACTCGGAGAAAGACAGGGTTGAACCCTGCAACATAACAGTATCTGTGAAGATGTCTGTTTAAATCAGAGGAAGGGAGGATTGAACGAAGACTAATTTGTCACACTTTCTCTGTGCCCTTGTATTATACAGATGCATATAAAAGTACTACACCACATATGCTAAACTTTCAAGTTCTCCACATTTATTCTGAGATTTAGGTTAGTGATGGAGGTGAGGAGGAAAATGGATGATCTTTATTCCTTATTCTTCTTCTCCTCTTTGAGGGAGATGAACAGACACAAAAGAGAAGTCAGGAAGCAGAGGAGAAAGACTTTAGGAGTGTGTACCACCTGCTGAGATACAGAGTGACAAAAGTCAATTGTCTCCTTAAAAAATAATAGCCATGCCAGGCAGTGGTGGCACACGCCTTTAATCCCAGCACTCAGGAAGCAGAGGCAGGTGGATCTTTGAGTTTGAGGCCAACCTGGTCTACAAAGTGAGTTCCAGTACAACAAGGACTAAACAAAGAAGCCCTGTCTTGAAACCCCCTATAATAATAATAATAATGATGATGACGATGATAATAATAATAATAATAGCAGCGTGCAGCCTTGGCTAGCCTGGAGCTCATGATGAAGACCAGGCTTATCTTGAACTCCTAGAGATCTGCTTGCCCCAGTCTCCAAAGTTCTGGGATTAAGGGCATGTGCTACATAGTGAGACTTTGCCCCCCAAACAAACAAACAAACAAACAAACTAGTACTTGCATTGTCTAAATTTCATGATCAATTTTACACACATTCTTCCCATCATCAGACTTTCCACTCAAAGCCAGTCAGGAGTCATCCATTCAACCTTCAGGCTCCTTGCAGCAGGCCAGGGTCCCCAGTGTCCCTGTCATTTGAAGGTGGGGCCTAGAGCTCAGGTGCAGCAGGCAGAGCAACAAGGCATGACAGCTGTTCCCATAGCAGTCATCCGTCTTTTTTTATTTACCACAGATCTCCAGGGTGAGCTGGGTCAATGTCTTCCTGCTCCTTAGCAACCAGGAAGGCCACGTGACTTACACTTTCTCAATTTAAATGCTCAGAGCAAGGGAAAAAAAACTGGAGAACCCATAGTGGGAAAGAAGAGAGAGGCAGGTAAAGGGTAGACTTGCCAACTTAGGGGGCATCTCAGCATGCAGTAGTTATTGAACACCAAGTCCTTTCATTCACAGCACCCTGAGTCTCTGAGAATCTACAAATGCATTGCACTAAATATTACATCGGGTGGTCACAGACTAGTTAATGGCAGAAGTACTTCTAAGACAGTGTATGGGCATCCTTTCTGAACACTGTAACAAAAGCACCAGCATTAAAAACTTCCCCAAGACCCTCTAGGAGGAATGTCTGCATTAGGATCTGTGAAAAATACACAGAGGAGAAATCACCAGTTTGGGCAGGCTGCCCTGGTATTTCTTGCTGTAAGTGGCAAGGGTATGCTGGGAGGTCTTGAGGTTGGGCGCTCTCTCAAAAGTACCCACAGAAATGCACTCCAACTGCTGTGAATCCATATTTGAGTTGTCCATTTAAGAATGCATACACAATGAATTATTAATAGCTGATGTGCAGCCGGGTACCATGGCTAACCCCTATAATTGCAGCACTTGGAGGCTGACCCAGGAGAATGGCTGAAAGCTTGAGAACAGCTTGGGCTACACAATAAGTTCCAGGCCATCCTGACATGTGAGAGTCTGTGTCAAAAAAGCAAAAACAGAAAGGAAAAAAAAACCCAATAACTAATACATTTCTTTAAATTAGGCAATATGTGATGGTCATTTAAAATGGGAGTGGAGCAGAGAGATGTGAGGGATTCTGCAAGACTATCCAATAAGTAAAACTCACACAAAGGAAAATTCCCATGAAAAAGTGGACAAGGTTCTTGTAAACTTCCACTTCTACAACCAAATTACTCTCATAAGATACACCTAATGGCAAACCGTTATTTCTAGCTGCGCTGGCTGAAACACCGCTGTGGTGTCTATGGCCAGCATTTATATGATGAATCCCCACATAACCATGGCAGCAGAGCAGTCCCCCAAATCCAAATGCAGCAACTGCCAACAAAAATAGCTTTCCAGAAGTGGATCAAATGGGACAATTGGTATATTCCACCATAAATAAGCTCTGACACTTCACTTCCTCTGTTTGCTGCCTTCGGAAACTGTTCAGTCCTTGTTCCTCAAGGTTCCTGCATATTACAATGTCATTTGCCTCCTGACTCTTTGAGTCTGACAGTGACTAGGTCCCAAGGAACCTGGCAGAGGTTAGGGCTTGCAGAGCACTGTTAGTCTTATAGATTCGTGGGCTCTTTTGTACCTCCTTGAAGAAGAGGGAGGTGAACATCACAATCCTGATACTGGCTTCTCAGCTACCCAAAGGAACCCCGCTACATGTATGTTGTGGTCGGTGCTCCGAGCCCCCTTCTTCCCCCCCAAAAAAGAAAAGGTCAGTTTAACAGCTTTACACTATTGGACATCGCTGCATAAAATGAGGGGGTGACCTGTGACATGAAGGATTTCACAACAAACTTTCAGATTCAGATTTCAGATAGCAATCCCATGCTATCCAAACAGGGTTCTATCTGCAGAAAATGATAAAATGCACTGAGAATCTTCTCCTACCTGCCTGCTTTCCCTCTGAGAGGATGTTGAGGCACTTCTGTGGGTTGGAGTGGATGTTTTATGAGCAGGGGATATGCCCTTCTCGTCTGAATTCATCGCTGCAATTAGTCTAGGGATGTGCACGTGAGACCATCCCAATCTTTCCAACTCTCAGACTAAGAACCAGACGATCTACGGCTTTAATCCATCTCCCACAAATCAGGCTGGACCAGGAAAGTGCAGGCCTCTACTGAGGTGTCCAAACCACCTAAAAACGAAACAAACAGAAAGTCTCATGTCATTTAAAGAGAAATCAAAATCATTACATTTAGGGGAAAATTAATTTGCATTAACAAAAGGAACTACACACACTTAGACATGCAGGTCTGAGGCCCAGAGACATTGACGTTGGAAGCACATGATGATGATGATGATGATGATGATGATGATGATGTTGTTGATGATACAAATATGCAAAATGATTAATATATGAATTCTGAAATTTCTGTGTTAGGAAATTTTATAATAACTCTTATACAGTTATATTTTTAGAATTTCTAACATTACGCTAACAGATTATGTGAACTTGTATGTGCTCATTAGGATTTTAATGACCCTCTAGTGATAGACAAGAATTGAAATAGCAATCCCTTGGGCTGGGCAGGTAACTCAGTAATAGAACATTTGTCAAGGATAGGCAAGGTCCTGGGTTCAATCTGAACACCAAAAACTAGTAATTATTAATTTAAAAAGAATAATTTCAGTAATTAAGAGAACTTTAATGAACTTGTAAACCTGGATATTCTAAATGACTGAAACTTGTAATCCCTTCTTGGAATTTTAAATCCCCTGCCATTATATTAAAATAAGAACTGCTCAGCTGAGCTGAAGCAATGGCTCAGTAGTTATACAGCACTAGCTGCTCTCCCAGAGGGCCCAGGCACCATACCCAGCACCCACAGGGTGGCTTACATTCTGTAACTCCTGTTTTAGAGGATCCAGCTCCTTCTTCTGACCTACAAGGGCACCAGGCATGCACATGACACACAGACATGCATGCAGGTAAAACACCCATATAAATAAATTTAAATTTAAAAACCTTTAAAATTAAACATAAACTGCTTTTTTTCCAAACTGGAAGACTAGACTTAAAGCAAAACTAGCCTTTGTAAATCATAAATCCAAAGAGCCAAAAGCTCTTGGATGAAGAGTGGTAAGGCTTCAGCTCGGACTGGCAAAAGGCAGTAAAAATAAGCCAGCACCTGCAGATGATCATTTAATCTGTTCAATGAAGGCAGTCTAATAAGTGTGAATACAGACTGGGAAGCCAAGGCCTGGTGCCTGGAAGCAGAAAAGTGTGAATGCTATTTAGATCCTTGATTCAAAGTACTTTGTTTTCTGGTCCAAGATGTTTTACAAGTGGTTGCTGACCCTTGAGCCAAAAGTATGTCAGCTCAGTGATGTGTTCAAGTACCCCCGTGGGATGGGGCTGAAATGGCCAACTATTAAACCACTATCTACTCAGAAGTAAATTCAATCCAAGTTTCAGTCTGATAGTCTCTGATATACAGTTGCCCTCCTTCCCTCCCCCTCTCCTGTTCCCACCTCTTTCTCCTTCCTTCTCTCTCTTCCCCTCCCTCCCCACCCCCTCTGTACCTCTACCTGCACTGTCTTCATTAGTATTAATGTTAATATCTTATTTTAATTTAACATGACATTTTCAGGATAACTTGTTCATGATGAAATGGCCATGTGCCATCTTATTGCATTATGAATACATTGAAAAACTATCAAAATCAAAGAAAATAACAGATAAAGAATTAAATACATCCCAAGATCCAATTTTGAGGTTATTGTTGTTATCTATGAATTTGGGGTCTCTTGTGTTTTAAAAGAAAAGGTGTTGTGTAACTATTCCTGGAAGACTGGGACAACTCACCTCAGATAATGAATCAATGACAGATCACAGTTCAACTTACTGAACTACTGAGTTTATTGGGGTTACTTACAGGAGTATGGGTGAGGGTTTACATACAGGGGAATGGACAATCCAAAGCAGCTGTATCACTGAAAAACCCATCCCAGCATGGGTGACGGTTCATCAAAGCTATATCCCTTCAGCTCCCTATATGGCTTGTAGGCAGCTTGGCTGGTGGGACAGTCTCCTCTACCACAAATATGTCTGCTTATATAACCACAAGGAGGGTCCTTGTGAATCTTGAAAGTTCCTGGAACCTCCTGAGACTTATAAGTTTTATTTACTTCCTGAATATTAGGGATCCTCTCTTAAGGATGAAAATGTTCCAACTGGGCAGAAACTGCTTCACAACAAAAGCATTTCAAGTATCCAGTTTCAATTCAAATGATTTTTACATCTCACCCTAATCAATCTAACGTTTGATTACTTGCTCGATTTTTAATGCCTTACAAAAGGAATTTTAAATTCTGTTTGAAGTTTGAACCTACTCATTCTCTATTCCTACAGTACGAGATTTGTTATGACCTAAGAAAGATTTATTTCATCTCCATTGAAACACATTTTCAGAAATTGCCTAAACAGTGTTGTAAACCCAAGACCATACATTTCTAAGTTGTCACCAACACAATTACTATATTCAACAAGAAAAACACTGTAACTGAAAACAGCAGTAATATGAGAGCAGAAAACCCCATTTTTCTCTCATTTTCTCCTTGTATCAGTAGGAGCACAAGTATTGTGAAATGCTGTAACATTTGCATTTACTTACACTGAAAGAAATACAATTCAGATGTATGATTCAGGGACCAAATTAGGGGAAACTTCTAGAACTTGCTGTTTATAGGCATCATAAATGATATGTGACCAGAAAAGCATTTGAAAGGAAAGGACTATTTAGCCTGAGCTAAACTGTGCTGCTGTATGAATAAGCTCCAAGCCCTAGGAGCTCAAAGAAGGGCTCACTGCCTGCTGATTCACACCTCCTTCAGGCTGGGTAGAGAGGTCCTTAGAATTCCTGCACTCCACACTGGTAGTGAGAGCATCAGACCCCATGAAAGGGAAGCAAAGGGTTTTGACAGAAACACCAGTTAGTTCTCGGTTGTTGCCCACAGATGATGGTCTCTTCCACTCAAATGGCTCCACATAGGTGAGTGGCGTATGAAATGAATTCCCTGGGAAAGATGAAGGAAATCTGAACAGATTAGTGTAAGTCACTATAAAATAAAGGAAACTATGAAAAGCATGGATGATACAGTGTGGATTTCAAACAGCATGTCAGTGAGTGTTCCTGGTTAAAGAAGAACCAAAAACATTAACAAGGTTCAAACCAAACAAAATTCCATCATGGTGAATTTTAAAAGGAGAATCTGAGTTTGAACCAAATATAGTTGGCACCAATAATCCACTGGTGAAGATCAGAACTCACACAAAGAAAAGAAAACCAAAGTATGTAAGTGTGCATGTGTGCGTGCGTGCGTGCGTGCGTGCGCGCGCGTGCGTGTGTGCGTGTGTGTGTGTGTGTGTGTGTGTGTGTGTGTGTAATCTCAAACACCTGTGAAAAACTATTCCCTCTGGGGAAATAAAATCCATATACACAAAGAAAATATAAAGTTTATTTAGAATGAGGGGAGGTAGCTTTAGAATACAAGCTTTTTCACAAAACTTACAAAAAATAGTGTCTTCGACAGAGCTAAGACAGGTTTGGAGACAATGGGGTTGACCTAGTTACAAACCTGAAGCTATTAATGCCATCAGAATTAGGACTCAGCGATTAAAGTGATAGTAATGCAGTACAGCATGGGTCTTCAGGGAAGACGTTATCTCACTACATTCTATTTTATTATCCCTTAGAAGCCTGCTTGTTTTCTAATGAGAGCTAGGAAGAGTGGACCGAGACGACAGGAGGGGATGTAGGGAGGAGCGGGGAGTGGGGGGAGGACTATAATCAGGATATATATTATCTGAGAAAAAATATCTATTTTCTATAAAAGGAAAAAAGTGTTAGAATAGGTTACCAAAATAGAAATACACAGGATGAATAAAGGTTAAGGGGATGCCTGAAGAAAGAAGAGAAAGAAAAAGGAAGGAAGGAAAGAAGGAAAGAAGGAAGACAGAAAGACAGACAAAATTGAAGAAATCATCTTGCAAAAAGAAAAAAAGGCCAATGAAACAACACTGAACAGGTACATGAGGCAATTTGCTAAATCTACATATAAAAATGATACTGAGCAATGACTAAAATGAATGATACCCAAAATATTCCCAAGCATAAAAATCTGATCACATTTTGGCAGGAAAATAAAGTAGAAAATAATTCAAAATAAGACCTCAATGAAATTAGTGAATTTAGACTGCCCCGTGGGAAGCAATTCAATGAAATTAAAAATTAATCATAAAGTCAGAGCAAGAAAGGGTTTGGAAAGTGCACTTTCCTAAGCATGTCTCAGGTTGAAGAAAAATGAAATGGTATTAAAGAATATTTGGAAACAGATAAAAGTCAAACCCCACAGCACTCAAGCCTCGGCTCCACCTCCAGACTCCTCCGTCTCTGTCTGTATGACGGAGCGACTTCTCCATGCACGGCCTTGGTCATTCACATTCCTACACCCGAAAGAATAAAGGCAAACATCCTGCATTTATAAACTCACAGAATTAGAAGAGATGTCTACAGAGTGAACACAGAATTGGATATTTTAAAATACTTCAATTAACAAATCTGAGTTATTTCTTTGAATTAACAAAAAAGTGGCTGACTAACCAATGAAAAAAGAGAGAACTATAAACAGATAAAATAAATGAACGTACCAAGGAATAAAAGACACGGAATTGGGAAATTGTCACAATTTATAACAACTAAGATGAATAAGTCAAAATAAAATATTGTAGAACCATCCTAGTAGACTAGTATCCCATCCATTTAGAATCCATTTCTACAAAATAAAAAGCTATGTCTTTATATGTCGGCGGTATTTCTGTAGACATGCACAAACAAAACACGACCCCCCCCCCCACACACACACACACCTATCAATCCAGCATAACAACAAAGTAAGTAAAACCACTTAGCAAGGACAGCCAGGCTAAACAGAGAAACCCTGTTGCAAAAAAAACCAAAACAAAACAAAACAAAAACAACCCAAAGAGTAAAACAGTTTCCAATGACATCAAGACACTGATGCTGGCTGTTGCCTGAGTGACACTGTCCTTAGAGTGCTAGGCAGTCTGGGATGTCACTGTCCATCTGAAATGCACCAAAGGGGCTGGGGAGCTGGCTCCGTAACTCAGACATC